GCAGCACCTCCAGACTCAAGTCGATCCTGAATCCGAACGATCGACCCTGCGAACAACCGGAATAGTATGTGCCTGGATTACTTGATGCAAAATGTCTTGCGCCTGCCGATAGAAACTGCTGTATATACTGTTTAAAAATACTCTCCACCGCTTCTGGTTTAAAATTTTCTGCGATGTAAATTAAAAACGTAATTATCTGGACTAAAGCCTATAGGTGGTTATGGGAAGATCATTAAATTTGTTTTTATCCTTAAGGAAATGCAAGTTTTGAAAACGCATCTTCAACGACGTGATATGGTACAGAACTTTCGACTTTCCTGCGAGTCACCCTCGAAGAACAACAAATTTCCGTTATTTTCTCTCGAGTTTTTATTGCTAAATTTCATTTTCCCCGGGTTGACTCAAAGTTCAGTGACAGCTGATGACAAAAGTAACGCCTGATAAAAGCGCGCATTATAACCAAGGTTGTCGTTGAATTTTTCAATTTTAATTAGTTTAACTATTCGCCGTATATATTCACGGAATGTAATTGTAATACATTTTTCACTTCCCAATTTGAAGTGTCAACACTCAGTGAATTTTCAGCTTCGGATTTTGGAATTTTCCTCATATGCTGCTTTCATGAACGGATGTGTAATTTTTTTTCTACATTTTTGTTGACGCCTGCGAGAAATTTATTATGGTATCCAAGCTTCTGTGTAAAAATGCAATCTTCTTGAAATTTTGAAATCGATGAAAAGGCTTGACGCAAGTGATTCGTATCATTTCTTCGTAAAAATTCAATAATTTTGAAATCGATGAAATGGTTTGACGCAAGTGATCCGTATCATTTCTTCTTTTTTTTCCAATCACGTAGTACATTATATGGCGACGTGGTTTTCAAGTCTGGGGACAGTGCAGAAATTATATGTTCGCATCAAAATTATTCTCGAAAATGTAATCCGCGACTCCTGTATAATAAATATGTTGCATGACATTGAAATATTGTGAACCATTAAAATTGTTTAGAAATTGAAAGGCGCTTTCGCAGAAGGCTTAAGACCATGCAGGCACCAGGCACTCGTAGTCGTATCCCATGAAAATGCGAATCGTTGCTCACTGCTCTTCGCAAGGTGGATTACCTTGAGTCCCTTGGACATTCTCGACATCTCAAGCACTTTATGATGAAGCTTAAAATAAAGAATTTTTATTCATTTATTCAGAGGATGCAGGTTTTCGGGGCAGACTGCTTAAATAAATCTTGAACTTTTCTCTTAAATGAAGTAATCTCGCCGCAGCTTTTGATAACCTGGAGCGACATCTTCTTCAGTAAAAGCAAACAGTTGTGCGTCGTCTCGGCACAAATTGCGGCGGTTCGTCAGCATCACAGGTTTCTATAGCAAGTAAATGTGAACCGCAAAACTTACCAAGGCTTTGGCTGAAAAGTGGAAAATAAGGCTTGCTGTTCAATGCAATCCACATTATCAATTGTATTTTATGCCCTAAGATCAAGAATATGAANCTCCTGCTTGAGCATCCCTCTATTTTTGTTTTCTTTCTCGTGCCAACCCTTTAATTGACATGTGAAGTAGTATTTTGAGAGATAGAGAGAAAGAGAGGAACTGACCTCGCCAAGAAAACATGCCTGGAGCGCCAAGGACCACCTGGGACGGATCGTCCGGAAAGTGCACGGAAGTCCCAGCCTGACCGAGTGCATAGACGTATTCGTTTTTCTTGTTCGGAGGATGCATATCCACCGTCTGGAACTCTGTGAGTCGATATCAAACTCTCGCAAACCAGTCACGTTCTTCAGTCAAACTCAATCAAAACAAAGAAGATCCTTGCACAAGAGCGTGTCGCGAGAAAATCGCCTCGGTCTACCGAGCCGTGAATATACACCGTCGTCCCTTTCTGAATAGAAATGCATTAAACCGCGCAGAAATATTGGGCAGCGAGCCGTTTGAAATGTGCGTTAGGAATCTTGGTCGTTTCCAAAAGATTCAAAAAGTAACACAGCATTAATTCACAGGTGGATAAATTTTCCCGATTGAAAAAAAAGACAAAAAATCTTCAACTTTGCTTTGATTTTCATTGCTTCCGAATAATGAACACGTGATGCATCCTCGGGAATAATTTAATTTACATGCGGTGAGATGCTTCAAAAGTTACATGCGGTGAGATGCTTCAAAAGTGAATTTCCGAAATTGAATTTCACCCTGAACCTTTGATTTAATCAAGAAAAATTCAAGTCCGGTTGCATCATAGTTTTCAATGTTGAAGCCAACGAATTCGATTACAGTGTTTGATGAAATGAATTCCGACAGTTGAGTTTTTTTAACCTAAGAGATAAACTTACGCGAAAAATAATGCTTGTACGTCTTAAATTTTCATTTCCCTTATTGGTCTAAAGATTGGCTTGGACAAAATAAGAAATTATCTGATATTTTTTAAACTAAATTATGTTTGGTTCACTGAGGCCGCGCAGATCTGGGACAAGAAAACCTTATTCTGTCGTAAGTGAAATGATTATGCAGCATACAATACTTATATTTGTATTCCGATTGGTAGTATAATATTCAATGCGAACCAGAAAACGTGACGTCAATCAAATTGGAACATGAAATCTTTCTTCGTTGAGGAGACACAGTATTTTCAACAACGACCTCGTCTTTGGTTCACCTCGTGCATTTCTTTTTTCTTTTATATTTTTTTAATTCGCACGATTTAAGTGTGTTGATTTTAAAGCGCTGCATAATACTGAATAACTGCAGGACATCTTCGCGCATACATAGGGAAAGAATGGTTTGTGGGGATCATTCGAGCATCCATTCAGTGGTCTTTTCGAATAAAAGAACAATATTTGCTGCTCACAGTACCTTGAGGAAGAAGTGGTATCAATTTTTTGGGCTCTTGCGAAGTGAGCAAAGCCTGTGCCGAGAACCAGTAGCACGCTCCATTTGGCAAATAAAATTCCGCTTCGTTCTTCAACCTGTTCCTTATCTGCTGCTTCCACAGGTGGCCGCAAATCTTCGGAGCAGGAAAAGGCTACAGTATTTCATCTTGCTACTTTAATTGATAAAGCAACGATTAAACTTCGAGAATTCATTAAAATTTATCGAAAATGTCTATGAGGAGGGCTTGGATTAATCACACATTTGATAAACTATGCCGAGAAAACAGGGGAGAAAAGGGCCTTTGTTTAGGATGATTAGAACTTTTCCTTTTTTGACTTGGACCGACAGATGCTATAATAGGACGGATGCACTTCAAGATCAATAGAACTACCAAGAATGTAACATCTGCCTCATCTGGTCATTTCTAGTTTGCACGTCGACTGTAAACACTTGAAATACACAACTTGGTTATTTGAGATATTTGATTGACCGAAAAAGGTCATCAACCTGGATAATCTAACTTTCAATGTCGTATTGCAAAGACGAATCGAATACCAGATTCTGGTTCTGTTCGATATTTAGAGATTAAATGGTCATTCAAAATTAGAAAGAAGCTTGTTTAACGAAGAAAGTCTATTTAAGTTTGACTCCAAGAGGAAATCAGAATTTTTGTCTTCCCTCAGACAAGGATAATGAAATTTTAAATCGCCTGAAAAATCTCTCGTCAGGATCACTAACATTTTTCTCACGTCGGGTCCAAATGTCATTATACAGGATAGTGACAATTACGCAAGAATTTTCGGAACGCTTTTTCCACTCTGACAAGTATGTACTCTATTTTTACCATGTTTTTATGAACTCACTTTCTTGTCTGTTTGTCTGGATCAAATTTTGAAACTCAAATTTCACTCA